AAGTATACATCAAGATAACCAATTATGGACAAGTTGAGACTTGAGTCATCAGCTCTTATTTGTGGTTACAATACCTTCAACTGCATGATTTTGCACAACTTCCATACAGGCATCCAGACTGGAAAAGGTTCAAGTCCATACTTATTCTGGTGCTTGAATATGGCAGTTCAAAGATGGAAGGCATATGATGCTACAAAATGAAAAAAAGTAATTCAACTTACAAAAAAAAGGTATTCATATCTATCCTAAACTAAACTAACCTAAACTTACCTAACCTAATTCAACCCAACCCAACCACCCCAACCAGCCCAGCCCAGCCCAACCCAGCCCAGCCCAGCCTAGCCCAGCCCAGCCCAGCCCAGCCCAGCCCAGCCCAGCCCAGCCCAGCCCAGCCCAACCCAACCCAAAACCTACAGTCTAAAACCTAGAGCTAAAACCTGCAGCCCAAACTGGAAAACATCCATATGGTACGCCGGACGCCCGTGAAGCCGTCATGCGCCGAAGTTCGGCGCAAGCTATTTTGCAATTTGCGCTGAAATTTCTGCATTATTTGCGCCGAAGGTTAGTGCCCTTTTGCGTCAAAATTAAGCCACTTATACAAAAAGCACGCTTACATCTGCTGGCCAAGGTTTTATAAACCAGACAGAACGCTCTGGGCCTTAACCCTCGCCCGCACATGCCATTTTCCCATCCTAGAACGCACATGGGGGGGGAGTGGTTGCCACCCCCCCGCGCCATTTCGTTCCTGTTGCAGATAGAGCTTAGCAGTAAAGAGCAAAAAGATTCTTTGGGAAGAGACGAATCCAATGATACCCAGTTTTACCTTCTCAGGTCAGTCATTGACCTTCCAGGTCAGGTCAAACTAAAAAATGTTGCTGTTTTGGGTCACCGTTGGATATCAAGTGCGCTGCTTATCAAATACCGATGACGATGCTGTTTTCTGGTGCCAAGCCAGCTAGAACCTCTTTGTCACACTATCCGACCAGAATTTTGCTGCTGAGGTCATTTCAGGTCAAGTTAGGTCAAGGTCAGTTATATGTGTTTGTATGTCTGTGTGTGTCTGTGTGTATACTGGTGTGTGCACCGATTGTTTTTGGGTCCATATCACATGAAATCATGATCTGAGAAGCTTTTACCAAAAATGGAGTAAAAAAACTTCACAAAAAGTAAATTCGGCTTGCCTAAAATGCAATTATCTTAGATGACCTAGGTTGACCTTGACCCTGACCTTGACCCCTGTACATCGTCGAACAACATGTTCCATGATAGGTGGGAGGTAAGACTGGCAAAAAAGGCCGAAATCAGGGTGTCAAAAGCTCACAAGGCCCATGGCAAACGCAAGATGTTGAGAATTGGCCATTTGGGTCATGACATGACCTGAAAACAAGGTCATATCTCCGAAACCAAAAAACATAGAAACTTGAAATTTTAAGTGGACATCAAGAAAGGATAGACGAGCAGCTATACGAAAAATCAGCCTTCTAGCTCTAAAAATGTTGAGTGCAGAGCAGAAAGACTGCCTGGGGGGGTGGCAACCACCCCCCCATGTGCGGGCGAGGGTTAACCACTCCTGACTCCCATGTTTGAGCGTCCAAATTAGTTGATGTTTCCATGGAAGCTGAATACCACAATACGTGTAGCGCACTGTAGCATCGTGCCGTGAAATAAGGCTCGGGACGGAAGTTCCGGGGTCACAAAAATTGGTGTGGTGGTGTTGTCGCGGCTGGCGGGCGCCGGAAAGGGGTTTAAGTTTACGACAACACTCTTGTTTCAGGAGAGGTGTCAGCGATTCGAGACTACTTGGGCATGCGGGCAGCGGGGTCGGCGTGGCTGCCTGCGGCTGCGGCCACACATCTTGGCGTCCTGGAGGCGGAGATGCTGATTGCTGATGGTGGCATGAGTCATCACTGGCTGCCCGATTTCCATGCTCCAAGACTCGCCGTGAGGGCAGAGGCGGGCGTCGTGCCGATGGAGAGATGAGGAGGGATGCGCTGGCATCGCGCCTACTGGCGAAGGCGCTCTCCCTCCCGTCGGAGGACCCGCCGCGTCGTGGCGGAAGCCCCCCCCCCCCAACCGTGACTGAAGTCAGTGACCGGCTGGAGAGAGCGCGGGGGAGCGGTGTGGGACCACTGGAGTGGCGTTGCCCGCCGAGGCGCGCTTATCCACGAGACTGCCCCCGTAGACGCCAACAGACGGCGTCTAGGTCCACCTGGACCGGCTGTCGATCGGGGCGTCCGCAACAGCGAGGAGGAGTGATGCGGAGGCGTGCCTGGGAGCGCTCCCCCAGCGTGCGACGTGGGCCTGGGTCGACGGGTCTGCGACCGGGGGAGTAATAGGAAGGCTGCGCTGGGGTCCTCACCGAGCACCCAGACAGTACAACATTGGTACTGTGGGAGGCGGCGGGGAGGATTTGCTCCAGTTACCGATCTGAGATGGTGGCGCTCAAGACGGCAAAGCAACATCTCCTGGAGCACCCGTCCTTCGAGGAAGACCCCATAATCATTTGCTCCGACTCGCAGGCGTCGCTGGCGACGCCACGAGGTGGACAAGTGGCCCAGACACCCCCCCCCCTTATCCCCTAGGTGCCGCCATCTGGGAGTATATGATGGCCCTAGTGGCTGTAGGGGGCCGAAGAATCCACCATAGAAGGAGGGCGGCGATAGCCCGATTAAGCTGGGCGTCCAGTGGAGCCTCGGCTCTATCATGGGCATTGGGCAAGGACTCTGCGAGCACCCCCGTCTCCTCCATCTTCGACGGCACTCCAGTCAGAAAGCTGTCCCCACCCGAGTTTCCCAGCAGCATGGGCCACATGAAACCGAACAGCGCCGAGCCGCTCGACGCTGAGGACCAGGCGAGAGGAACAGTGAAAAGGTGAAACGCTCGAAACGGCGCGCGCCGCCGGCCGAGGGCGCCGAGCCGGCCCAGGCCGGCTGCGGGTCAAACAGAAGCCGTCTCCGCGGCGGCCGCCCAGTGACAGCGACTCGGACTGACGTCGAGGCACCGCTGCCGCCTCTGCCGACCAACCCGCCGCCCAGCAAGGGCAGTTTGAAGGCGGCTGCGCCGGTGAAGGTGGCGCGGCCTGGCAGGGGCCGCGGCCGGCCCACTCCCAGCTACCCGTCCCGCGAGGTGCTCAGTACCACCGACTCGTCCGATTCTGAGGCAGCGCCGTCGGCGGGCCGCCGCCAGCAGTGAGGACGACCGGCTGGCGGCGTTCGCGCGGGACTTGTCCGACTCCTGGTACTCGGACTTGCCGCCCAAACTGGACGCCGGCGGCGTGAGCACCAGCAACGCCAATAAAAAGTCCACCTTCATCCGGCTCTTCTCGCACCGTGTCAAAAGGACTACGCCGCGCGGCCGGCCGGCCAACTCGAATGAGCGCAGCGAAGGGCACACGTCCCCGACGGCGGCACTGGCGCCTCCCGCCGCGCCGCTGCCGGCGTTGCTGGCAACGCCGATCCAGGCCCATCGATTTCTACTGTTTTGTTGCCTACGTGCCGCTGCCGCCGCTCAGCCAGCACAATGGCGTGCCGGTGTTGCGCTGTCGGATCGAAAAGCGGCTCGTGCAGCGGACGGACGGGTGCGGCCCGCGCGATGAGCCGCCGCCGCACACCGAGCTGCGCCGCGCGGACGTGAAGGTGGAGCTGGCAGCGGCCTGCTCAGTCCCCTCAACGGCGTCGACCGGCTCTCCGGCGATTTGCGGTCAGAAACGCCGCCGCTTCTGGGACCCTGCACCCTGGGACCAAGGTGTCAGAGCGCGGCGCTGCCCGTGAGACGTTAAGTTAGCACAGGCAATGTCGTCTGCACTCCTTGCAGTTCATGTTGAATACACAACCATGTTGCGAAGTAATATGCGCCGGGTTTTTCAGTTCATAGAACTTTTTCCCTGGCTATTACACCCCACAACCGAACACTGACACCTTGCACAAGTATGACTGTGTGTATGAATGTTAATAAATACATGAACCAATGTTGTGTTTTCGGTTCCAGTACCTTCTTTGGGCACCTCGGCAACAAGTAAGTAATTCGTTAGCTTTGCCACACCTAAGATAGGCTCCCACGTTGTTATTTGCTCCCGGGTTAACATAAACCGGTTTAACGTAACTTTTGCATCCCGGCCAAAATTGCCGGGTTAACTGTCCCACCGCTCGAGACTGGCGCTAGGCTGGCCGAGCAAAAAAAAAAGTTTGTCAGCGGCTTCGTCTTATTCGCAGCTGCTGGACACGGGGGAGGGGGAAGGAGGGGCTGCATCGGACGAAAAGCGATGAGGTGAGCCCTAATATTGGCTTCACCACACAATTTGAGCCCTCAAACTGGATTCAGGTGAGCTCGAAAATGGGGATCGGGCTGAAAACTGGTTTCATAGTGAGACTAGTTTTAAAGCTTGACACCGATAATGGGTACTGACTGAGCTCTGTTTCTGCGATCAATGATATACCGATTAAAGGGATCGGGTTGAGCCCTCAAACTGGATTCAGGTGAGCCCGAAAATGGGGATCGGGCTGAAAACTGGTTTCATAGTGAGACTAGTTTTAAAGCTTGACACCGATAATGGGTACTGACTGAGCTCTGTTTCTGCGATCAATGATACCGATTTAAGGGATCGTATGATCCCATGTGGCGTTGCTCAGAAAGTATTCTCGAAATGTGCTGTCTGTTTTGAATATGGTACATTAGCCCGAAAACTGGTCTCTGAGACCGAAAATGGGGACACTGTTTTCTCAGTGAATATAATCTAATAAGGGAACATGCCGATTTAAATTCGCAAACAATCTTCTACTTTTACTAGCATATACTATCAACATATTTTCTTACATTGATGTACATTTTATAACCCTCTTTATGTACATCGAAACTCAGCATGCATGCGCTAAAAAAAGTTGAAAAACGGACAAAATATTTTTCTTGTTACAAGCAAATTGGAATGATAAGAATCATAAGCACACCTTGAGCGTCTTTTAGCACAGTTGACATATGATGACATTTCATTTGCCCTCTTGCAGGCGAGCCAAGGAGAAGCGGCTGAAGAAGGACGCTGGCCGTTCCCGCTGGGGTCAGTACTTCCGAAACATGAAGCCCGGAGAGAAGCGGCGGGGAGGCGGCAGCGGAGAGAAGACCTCCGAGTCCGACGACGATACCGTTTATAACAACAACGACGGTAAGTGGTGACGCGAGTCTTGTATCAAATGTCTCAAAGAATGCATTCTTTTATCGTTTTAGAGTGTAGGTAAGTTGTGCATTGTGAAGCATAATTCTAGTTTATCGTCGAAGATTGCGCTACGCATCATCGTTCAGCTGTTTAATTCAGCCACTAAAATTCATGTAATTTCTGTTGCTAATGTGGTGAGTGAGCATTGTCCAACACCAAAGGTCACGTGGGAAGGGAGCACACCACCCACCTGCCCGGGGCTCAGGAGTCAGGATGTTGACCAGGCTAGCTGCCTGCACTGGACGCCCGTGGACGGCCGTGATAATAATTTAGCCAGCTAATTAATATCCTACATATGCCCTCTCCCCTCATAGGTGTAGCATATAATTTCTTCATTTTCTTGCGTTTGTTTAAAAACAACTAACATCATAACAAACCTTCTAATCTCTTAAGAAAATTGAAAACCACACAGTAACGTTTTTTTTCAGTATAAGGGGAAATATTCCGGATATTGCACCAAGATAATAAACATATTAAACAGTATGCTATTGTTTCGTGTTTAATGTTAAATGTTTACGGTTATCGTCATATCTCTATTTATCCATTGCATCACTGCATATCTGATGACAAACTGCATCGGCGAGCCCTTCTAAATCTCTCCCTCTCCCTAACCCGGGCACTTTTCGTCGCGCCGGCAGCCCCTCGACACGGACTAATCGGCGGCAGTTTTCTGGTCTCCGGCGGGGCCGGCGCTCCCCACCGGCCCGGAGCCGCCTCCAGCGACCATTTTTCCAGCAGCTTTCCTCTCTATCCCGCGGGATTGGGAAAACTATTAACAAATTGACTGCAACGCCGAATGGGTGGAGCCGGGGAGCGGGACGACACAGAGCCGATGCATCATAAATTCGGGGCTCTGCCTCGGCTGCCCGCGGGGAGGGGGAGGGGGCTGGGGGGGGGGGGGGAGCGGTGCGATCAATGACAGACCCCTGAGGCGCGGCTCAGCGGCTCGGCGGGCGGCTTGGCAGCTCGGTGGCAGCGCTCTGCGTTCAGCGTTCATTGGCTGATGGGTGACCGGAGACGGGTGGCTGCCGTCGCGCCGTTTCTTCCGCACCATTGCCACGGCAGGTTCAGAGCAGGGGTCGACACCAACAGCAGATGGTGCCAGATGGGGAGAGCTGGCCAAATAGGCGACACGACCCCTAGGATGGCATTTAACCAGAAATGCTTAGCTTGCAGGGAGAGGAGAACCGGGTCACGGTATTTCGTGGTAGTCATCACATAAATTCACAAGCATGTAACTGAAATAACTGGAACGCTTTAAAACATATATGTATGTAAATGTTTAACTCAGGCAAGGATTGGCTAAAGCGCAAAAGGAAATGTTAACGCATTCAATACGCAGCTGTCGAGAGTGGCTGTAGTATCGCGACTTGCCAACAGATGGCAGCGGTATCACGCGCCGTAAAATAGACTGTGCCGCACGACACGCCAGCCTGCAGCTTTCTAACGGAGGGGCAGCTGGGGCCTGGGGGCAGCAAATGCGCAACTACGACTATGCGATTAGACTTAATGAGGGATTAACAGAGGAGTTACATCAAATTGGCCACAGTGTCAAAACTCACAACATACCAAAAGTGCCAACTATGCCAAAAGTCTCCCTTTCAGCTCGTGTCCGCTTGAACATGTCTTTGATATGCAATGTTAATTCGTTTGTGTCAGTGACATCTTATCTTGAGTCTGATGGTCTGTCCACTGTCCACTGGCAACATAGATAAGGAGCTGTTGGAAGGTGACCAAAATATATAGCATTGCACATAAATAGTTAGGTAAGTGCACTGCACAGCTTTAGTTCGCTGCATCAGTTCGGCTCGAACTGCTCGTTCGCATGATAGACATTCCATAGATCCAGGATTAACTCATTAAAAAATACGTACAATAGCAAGTACCGCATAACATGATAACATTAGTCATTAACGGAATGTCTTTTATAGCCAAAATTCACATCAAATGCTCGTGTTAAAAGGTCGTTTGTAAAAGGTACAGAGATGCGAACTGTAGGCTGTAGATCTAATACACGAAACAAGTATGATCGATGCAGTTGGAAAGAAATGCAGCACAATAAGCCGCCATACCATTCCATTCCATTCCCCGTCTGTGATTATCCTGTGGCTCTTTGGCCTTTACAAATGGCAGCGTTCAACGTTCAACCAATTCTCTGCCATTTGGCCTGTCACTCCCACAACGCATGGTGCCATTAGGTGCTTCATACCGCTTTGTGCAAAGCGCTGCGTCGCAACTAGCTATTACACTGCGCGGCTAAAGCGGCGCGTTTAGGGCAAATGATACGCCGATGACTGGGCTCGCGTCGCAAGCGGCTGACTCACGGGTTGTAACGGGTCTCCAGGGAGCTGCAGCTTTTAGGGACACGTGGACCGCCGGCCCGGCAATGGATCTATTCGGCCAACCCTTCACCCGGCGGGCCGATAAAGCGACGTGTTGGGTTTGAGCGATGTCCGAGGGCAAATTGAACTGTTGTGTTAGGGACACCCGAAAGGAGTGAGTGGTGCACCGTTCCGGCGAATGGTGGGGTGTAACTTACAGGTCAGGACGCTGTTGGTCGTGCGAATGCAATAATAATATGCATGCCCGAGGGCATCACGTTGCCGTCTTACCGTCTGTTTTCAAGGTTCAGTAGCGTCCAAAGAATCACTGAAAGCATCAAAGCGTGTTAGCAATAATCAGCGTCGCAACATTTTCACAAACATTCACAACGGAAAGTATCTTGCATTATCTTTTCTAGCCCCTCGAACTTCCACTTGATCACTGATATTCTGCACTGAAAAAAATCGGGGAACCCCATTTCTTACAATCTGACACCACATACTCCAAAATACTCCTAAATTAGGCTCCGTTTTCATGATTTTAGGATGTCATGGGTGTTGTGACACCCGACACGGGAGCCCCATTACCTTTTGACGCCGCAAAAATGTACATGACCCCCTTGGGAGAGGTTCGGCTAGCGAACTCCCCAAAAATTGCAGGCCCAAAAAATTGGAGTGTCGCTGAGACACCCCCGTTGAAACCCCTCTGGGGTGTCATTATCCTGGAGTGACACCCCGTGTTTTCAGCTTCAAATCCTACCGATAGATGGCGCAAACTAAAGTTGGTAAAATCGGGACCTGTTTTTCACGAATGGCTGGTGCATGTTTGGAGCTAAGGCAAAAGCGTGCATAGCGTAGAGTGGCCAACTATATCATGATGATATCTAGACTGATTACCGTGTCATACGTTGGTCGTGCACACTACAGGGCGCCGCAAGGCCGCGAACGGAAAGAGTAACTCCTCACCCGGTTATAAATATAGTCTGAGATTCTCGTTCCGAAGGACATTTAATCTTCGCCGGGAGTTTTTCGGAAGTATAGGGGAGTGAAACTTCTCTGAGAGATTCCCTCTGAAGGCGCGCGGTTCCCCGCGTGGGGGTCAGGAACAATATGGGGAGTTATATCAGAAAAATAGGGGAGTTGCGCTGCTATATTTTACACCCTAATTTGGGAGTTTGACACCCTGTCGGGTGCTTAGGGACCAAAAAGGGGTGCTCGGCTGATATTTGAGGGGTGTCACCTGCAGTCTAACGGAACCCCATGTGGGCCGGCGCTGACCCCCCTTTAGCGGCTGCGACTCCCCACTATGCGTCGAAACCCTCCTGGGGTGTACGCCAAACACCCCATTTATAATAGCTCAGCGACTCCCCTCAAAACACCCCACTCGGGTGTTATTTTTGACATGACCGTCAATACCCCGTACAGGGTGTCATTTTTTCTTTCAGTGTGAAAAACCGAACTTTCTGACAGCCCAACCAGGCGTGCGGGCTGTTTTCCAACATCTCGCAATCTTTTTTTTTCTAGATGAACTGCCCTCCGTCCTTTCCCAGATGGACTGACATCCCCTTCATCCCCAGATGGGCTGACGCTGGCCTATCCCTCCGTTCCTTCTCCAGATGTTCTGACGCTATAGAATAACACTCTGTCCCTTCCCCAGATGAACTGACGCTCGACTACCCCCACACGCCGGGCTGACTGTTCCTTTCCCAAAAGAGTTGACGCTATAGCCCTCCGTTCCTTCCCCAGATGAACTGACGCTGTACTACCCCCACACGCCGAGCTGACTGTCCCTTTCCCAGAAGAGTTGACGCTATAGCCCTCCGTCCCTTCCCCAGATGAGCTGACGCTCGACTACCCCCACACGCCGAGCTCGTGTGACATGGAGCCCGGACAGGTGGTCAGTCCGCACGTGCAGCATCCACACCACTTCATGCACGGTAAGAGAGCTGAAAATCGTGAAAATTTTTGGTTAAACGTTGTGAAGATGGTCATTGTTAATTTTGTTAGTCTTGCAGGGGAGAAGTTAATTCAATTTGTGCTTCGAGGCTCAGCGGTGGTTTTTATTTGTACAAATAAAACTAAGACACATTAAAATAGATAAAAAAGGAAACTAGCTTTATGTATATTTAGCGTCGCAACCATGAGTACCAGGATGCCTTTCATCTCGTCATCTCTGATGCCGTCGTTGTGTCGGCCGCGGCGCACCTAACGGTGACCTTTGACCTCTCCGCCAGGCCCGGGCACCCCTCCGTACGTGCCCGGTACGGGGTCACCGGGGGCAGGTCACCGGCTGGCCATGCCCCCTGCCGTGTTCCCACCATTCGGGGACGGCTCGGCTCTACAGTTCCCGCCGCATCTCGGTACGTTTGAGGAAAGGGGAAGTTTTTTTCAAGTGTTCATAAAAACTAAGTGAAAGTTTTTTATCTGTGACCGCAATGAGTAGATAAGTTTTTATTCATTTTTGCTATGAGATATGAGCTAGTTATCCCATTACTATTCGTTTTGATTGGTTATTTCAATAATCAGCATTCAAAGGCAGTGTAACTTATGGCCATATCACAAATTCTAATTTGTTTTAACTTCTAGCTAAATTCACGCTAGAGCTCTGAAAATTCCGTGGCACTTGACAAAGCTGCCATGCTCATCAACCGAAGCTGTCTATAGTGTCCACGACTACCCCTCACTAGTCGGCCCTGCCATTCTGACGTCTCCCCTGTCCCGCAGGCCGGCCGGGCCCGCTGCCTCCTCACATGGCCGGAGAGATCAGCAGCGCCTCTAGCACCGCCGGCTACCCCGAGTTTCCACCCAGTCCCGAGTCGTGGCTGGGGGAGGTGGAGCCGGCGCCGCAGCCGCATCCCTACTGACGGCCCGCGCCCTACCGGCCGTGACAGTGACAGACCGTGACGGGCCGTGTGACAGACCGTGACGGGCCGTGAGGAGACAGCCAATTCCTGGTCCTGAGAGACTAGTGAGCGTGACACTCACCTGGCTGCATCTATTACTTGAAACTTGGTTGTGCTGGGCTGCTTTAAGTTTGTGAGGCATTTTAGTAGCACAATTTCTTATTTCCCGTGATATTGAAAGCCATTAGATGTCCCTCACTTAGTACTTCTTTCTTACCTGCCAATGTTCTTTGTCTTATCTTCTAAAACTTAAGCTTGTGTCGCAGCGAAGCCAGTCTCCAGGCTGGCAGCCACGTCTCATCAACATCCATCTTTAGTTCTCTAACGAGAGCTACATAACCATGGGAAACCAGTGCAATCTTCGACATTTGTCCAACTGAGAGACAAAGCCCTTGCCTCCGTACAAGGCCCGCAAACAAGGGAAACACTCAGCCGGCGGGCGCGGCGCTACGGGCTGCTTCGCAGCAACACCTCCGTTTCATATCGGGCCCTGTGGCGCCCCCTGCACAGACCTCTCCCTGCGCTTGGAGGCATGACTGCTAGCGTCACCTATAAACTTGTGCGCCACGTGATAGCGACGCCTAGCGGTGACCGGAGGAACTATGATGTCGGTCAGACTTGACACAGACATTGCACAGTAGCGACAAGCGTTGCGTGGACATTTCGTGTGTATATTATTGTGTTTATTGTATTGAAGTCGGTGAATGGAGCGCCACAGTGTATGTGTTTGATGGGGCAGATATTGAGAGAGGAAATCAGCGTCCAGTGTTTAGCCGGTCTCACAGGAAAAGTGCATTCCCTAGGCAATTAGGCACCTTCGCGCAGGCAGGCGCTAAGTGCCAGCCTTAAAGTCTCGGAGCATGAGATACACTCGCGGAGTCGAGCTTGAGATTTATGTGTCGTGCATACCGACAGCTTTTCAACTGAGTTGAATAATCTCGACCTTTAATAAAGGACGCATAATCATAATTATGTACCCGAATTTAAACACGCATACAAGAACTGTCTAGTCAATTCTAATCATGCGCACATTATTTATCATTGGTGTCATGTATGTTGTTATATTTTATATGAGACATAGCCGATAATGCGTGGTAACAATGTCGAAATGTTGTACTTTTCATGATTTTCAACAGGAAGCTTGTGAACTTTGTGAATAAAGAAGTGTGCAGCTATCACTCAAACCATTATGTAGAAAATGAGCCATCGCAGCTTTGACGTTTCATAGGTGAATTTCTGCAACTTTTACCATCTCTATATAAACCTAAGTTACACATCCATAAAATACTCGTTTAAAGTGTGCGAATCTCTAAACTCCAACAATTCTACCGCATGCACCCATCTATAGAATGACGTGTGCATGACCACATGTACTGTTAGCACTTAATGCTGTTTTCATATCACATACCATGACTCTGTGTCTGTGTGTGTGCGTGGTCATCAGATGAGTCGTCGCCTTTTGTGTTACCACCTACCACAGCAGTCAGCAAGGCGGCAAATGGCGTCTTCTGGGGTTCAAACTTCAAAAGAAGGCCCGCAGAGGACCGAGACATGCCGTCTTCTGAGTGTATGCCGTATATTGATTGATGGAATGGAGTCGATATGCCTGTCGTGAGTATGTGTCATGTGTGCATCGTCTGTGGGTGACTAGGCTGTACGAACAGCTGATCTGCCGACAATACAGTGGAATGTGTGAGCGGAGTGTATCAGCGGGCGAGACGACGGATTCATCAGGAAATGAGACGTCAACGGGCATTTCTAATGGGAACATTGCCCAATCAGAGTTAACCCTCGCATGTGTGCGGCGTTTGCCAGCTTCTAATGTGTAGGGGGGGGGGGGGGGTCGGTTGGACCCCCCTTGCCGTTTGGCCCCTGATTGAGCTAGAGCTTCGCGGAATAAACGAGCGTGTTGCCCGTGACGAGAGGAAGCCGATGATACCCAATTTTAAGGTCCTAGGTCATTAGTTGACCTTCCAGGTCAGGTCAATGACCCAAAGTCGGGAAAATCGGGACCTGTTAGAAAGTTGTAAATTGTGGCTGCTAAGGGGTTTTCCGGGGTGCTGATCACGAATATCGTGTTAGTTTTGATCACAGGTGATGTCTTTAAGCATTTAGACCAGGTCGGGTCAGGTCAGGTCAGGTCAACCGGTAGAGGTCATGACGGGTATTCGTAGTACGTAACAACCGCCTCTGGCAGCTTCGTTAAATGTTACGAAGGCACCAAAACTACTTCGTAAATGTTCAAATAGCTTCTAAATTCGAATTCAGCTCCAAAAACTAGCCTAGAAACATGTAAAGCTGGAAAAAGTGAACCGAGGTCACCAAAGGTCAATGACCTGACCTGACCTTCAGGTGACCTTGACCTCCACCCAAATGCATGGGAGCAACATCAAATCACATGTGTGAACGTTTGAAACCACGAGAAGCTTGCAAACGCGCAGCTTATGTGAGCCGACATACACCGAATCGCGATTCCGGCCAAACACGGGTTCGAGAAATAGGTCACAGGAAGGTCACTTGGGTCAGGGTCATGAAATTTTCAGAGTAGGTGTAAAATTGATCAGCTCGAGGGTACTGAAAATTTCGTCGCGATCGGCCGCTTTTTACGCGAGGTATTCGCGAAAAACCATGGGGGGGGGGGGTCCATCCGACCCCCCCCCCCCTACACATGCGAGGGTTAAAACTAGAACACTTTTATGGAGAGGGACCAAGGAAGTTGTCGAGGTTTTGAAAGGCTTCGGGATTCAGATGTCAAACTGCCAACTAAAAACTATGCGCATTACGCAACTGTACGTACCCAAATTCGCTTTGACTTTCGAGCAAATATGCAAATCATAAAACACGTTAGTGGCAACAAAGTTTGATAAAAACAGCGCATAGCGATGCAATTTTAGTTTCAGCGCCAATAAAACCTACTGCCACGCATATGCTTGATCTAGTTTTTCGTTAGAGCTCCAAAAACGTTATTTCATGTTTTACTTACCCAATAAAACGTCTCGAGATTCCATTTAGCCAGTGTTTATTCAACTATCGCCGCATCGCTGCAATGATCACCTGCCAACTAATTGGTTGGTGTGTTCCAGCGTCTTTACAGTTTACAGCACTGCAACTGTACCACATGACCTCCCTCCAATGAGGTGATCTTTCGGCCGCTGCTTCTTGAGCTATTATTCCTAACAATAATAAATACAACAACAAGACACATTTACGAGATCATGCTGTCTAACAACTCCTACAAATAACACTTGCAAAACTTCTCAAAAGAGAAGCTTGTTTTCCCCAGCAGAAAATAAGCTTTGGTATAGCTCACGGTCCTCGGTCTAGCAGCCGTCAGCTGTCAAATTCCTCCCCGAGAGAAAGTATCGTTTCGCTCTTCTGTTTCAGCTTGGCAATGACCTGTGGACAAAGATGGAAAAGTGTGGAGACGTACTCATTTATCATACATTCGTCATCGTTGATATCGATGAGAGTGCGGTAAGCATATTCGTCGTTAGAAGTTCGCATTAAACAAACAAACAAACAAACAAACAAACAAACAAACAAACAAACAAACAAACAAACAAACAAACAAACAAACAAACAAACAAACAAGCAAGCAAACAAACAAACAAACAGACAGACAGACAGACAGACAGACAGACAGATAGACAGACAGACAGACAGACAGACAGACAGACAAACAAACAAACAAACAAACAAACAAACAAACAAACAAAAACAAACACACAAACAAGCAGATTAACACAAGAACTAAGTTTGTTCAGTAACATTTGGGTCATCAAAGATCAGTGTATAGCCCTGCCAGTTCGTACGTTTTTGAGTCGGGTGATCTCCTTGTTGTCGGCGTTGCGGGCGGCCGAGTTGGTGATCTGTTTGACCCGCGAAGCGTACTGCAGCGAGGTCAGCGTCTCGTCCAGGTTGTACTGCGCCGGGGAGATGTTGACGAACATCAGCGTCTTGGCGTTGCCGCCCAGACTGTCCTGCATCAGCATCGTCAGCTTGCTGTTCCTGTGGACGACAGAGAGACGAACAATGTCATGGAAATAAGCTGCAAAAGATAGCGAAAGGCTTGCCCCCCCCCCCCAAAAAAAAGTGCTAGTCCAACCAATGAAACCAATGAACCAAATCCATGGATTCGCTTAAATATCTTTTAAGACTGCATTTATCAAGCTTAACTGCTATGGTTTGCAGTAAGCACTATCTCACGTCATGCCGTGTCCTATAACAACTCTGATAAGCTCTGATAATTTTAGGCCACAAACACCGCAAAAACTACCATAGCATCGTACGTCCATAGTCAGCGCGCATGATACGTGTCTCACCTGTACGGAATGAAGTTCTGTCCCGCCGTCAGCGACGAGATGACATCCGCTAGGGCCGAGAGCGACTTGTTGATGGCGTTGGCCTCCCGCAGCTGGTCGGCGTCGGCGCCCGACTTGGCGGCTCGCTCGCTGCCGGCCAGGTCCAGCAGGCTCAGCTTGCCGCGCGTCACGGCGCCGTTGACGCGGCTGGTGGCCTCCACGGTGACACCTATGACCAGGTGGGAGCGGGAGCTGGCCGCGTTCATGCGCGTGGCGCCGGTGCGCCGGGCGCCGACGGCGCGCTCAAACAGCTGCTGCAGGTGGGCGGCGTCCTGGCAGGGCAGCAGCGCGGCGCCCGAGACCACCACCGTGCCCCGGCGGTCCTTCTTCACCTGACGGACGGCGGGGATTGGAGTAAGGAACACACAAGGCATGACACAAGCAAAGTTCTTATTCGTCCCTTTTGAATGTTAGCTGATTTAGTGAAAACGTCCATTCGATAATATGTGCTTGAGCTAAAAGATAAGCCTTTGATCGTTTTCAAACGGCTAATGTCACGTTGTTAAATCACTGGACATTGAATCGTCTAAGTTCAAACTTTTTAGCACTTCTTAACTTTGATTTCTTCAAGATATTTGCAGCTAATCTCCAAGAATACTCAGTCAAACTGACCGCCCGCCTCACCTCGAGTTTCTCGTCTGCTCGCGCTCCGGCCGGCGCCAGCAGGTCGACCAGCCGGTCGTTGTACAGCTCCAGCATGTAGGTGCTGATGGCGCAGCTGGTCTGCGCCGCGCGCGCCTGGGCCAGCTCGAAGAGCCGCCGGAAGGCGCGCGGCGCCACGCCCGGCGCCTGCTCGTCTCCCAGCAGCGTGTGCGTCTTCCCGGAGCCGGTCTGGCCGTAGGCGCAGATACACACGTTGTAGCCGTCCATACTCGACTGGACCAGAGACTGACGGCGAGATACAGGCGGAGTCAGTGTTGGCTGGGAGTGGAGGAGAGACAGATAGGATCAGTACCGACTGTCACTTGTCAGGGACATGCGAGATCAGCACCGACTGAAGAAGGTAGAGGATACAGATGGGAACAGGGTATATTGCTGGTGACCATTCGTGGTTTAATATGATCTTCCGAGTGACCACTGGTCATCAGCTGAACCCTATTACAGATGAGCAGGAGGCGTCGTGATTAAAAAAATATCATTAGGTTTTAGCACATTTGTTCAAAGCGGAAGACTCGTTCGTGTACATACCAAACATCTAATCCAAAACAAAATATATTTGCATTCATACGAGACATAAGTAGCAAGTACCATGCATCTCCAATAAGTGGAAGTGAACGGAACATGAGGAAATGGGGAATGACCTCACTAACGGTTTTCAGCAAAGCGAGCTAACGTCTTGAGCCTGACGCCAGCGAGACAGGGCGACTGTTTCGGAACGCTGCACTGCACTGTGTGCACTGACGCTTGAGTCTACCGTGTTGCTGTGAAATTCCGATTCGGCTGAAGCGCCTAACGGAGAAAGCATGGCAGTTCGCCCGGGTGACTTGGAGTTCCACTCGATGGCGTGTGGACACGCATGACCTCTTTGGACCATAAGCAGCAGCTCAGTTGCCTTGATGAATGAAAGGTCGGATGCGTAGGTGGGATCTGTGCAATAACGTCCATGACAAAAAGTGCAATGTGCCTACCAGACGCAAGAGATGTTCAAATTGAATATTGGAACCTTGACGTTGACCGTGATATTACTTCGTTCACCACATAATTTTTCGGTTAAGTGCATCCGATATAATAGTAAATGAATGATTATTAGGCGGCAATTAGGCGGCAAGGTGCAAGGTGCGTCGCCATGCGGCACCGATCCGGCGCAATAACACAGTTTCGGCAGGACAGTGATGAGCACGGACAGACATCTTATAATTCATAATATGCTTGGTGCCCACTAAATTTTACGTTATCGATTATAACAGTAAAATAAATTTGGTGGACACTCAGCCTAAGGTGAGGTGGACCTCGGTATTAAAATTTGATTGCGATTGATTGGTCCAGAGATGTGCCGTCAGCACGCGCTTGCGGGCGCCATAGGGTTAACACGTGACACGGCCAAAACGGCGAACGGACGAAAATCGGCCTGCCTATTGTTCGAAATTCGGCGATTGCTCGGCGAAATGATTGTCCAATACGCCGATACCTGACCAATCCACGCAGATCTTATTCGCCCTGATCCCTCTACCTACAGCATCCATCCATGTCTGTTTCACCGACAAGGAAATCAAACGCAAGGCTGATCCACACCAGCTCTGAGCTCTCTCACTAGCCGCGTGCGTCGGACTCGTTTCCGCGCCTCGGTAACGGACCGGACACGCCCCGGGCCAGAACGGTGGCATTTGTC